GTATCTGCATTTCACTGGCCCTTTAAGTGTTAAAACCCAGCCCTGGGAGAGAGTGGTGGAGCCAGCAGATAAGGCAGAAGAGCCAATTGGGGCCCAGCTGGGGCTGTATGAATGAGGGTTCTTGGAGGGGTGGAGACAGACCCACTCTTGATCCAGCTATGAATCAGGAGGGTCCTAACTGCTAGGGAAGCTAGAGTAGGGCTGGGGAAAGGCAAGCAGAGCTGCGGAAGCTCTGGCCAGACACGCTCCCAGGCTGCAGGGCCTGAAGCAAGGTCTGGGGGATACCGGAGCTGTCGGGAGGCGGCAAGGGCAGTAGAAGGCAGTGGGTCCACACCCCTTACCAATGATGAGTGGCCATTTCAGACTGCAGTTTGCCCCTTAGGCAGGGGTCAGATGGCAACTGGCAGTGGGTCACTGAGGCAAGGTGGGCATAGGGGATTGGAGGTTCCCTGAGAAGGAGGACCCCAAACTGTGGGGGCACTGCGGCAGGGCAGTATGCTGAGGGGAGGATGCCAAGGTTGGGGAGGGATGTGAGTTCTAACGCAAGGTGGTGGAGTCATTAACAGGTAACAGCAGACGAGACACCGACAAGGGGATGCTCCAGCACTGAAGAGCTAATTCCCCAGTGACCAGCAAGAGGCGCTGTGACAGTGAGTCATGCTGTGTGACACCCATATAAAAAATCCAGTGTCTTCTGATTTACCAGGACTAAAAAAAAAATGCCCTATTACCATGAGATGGGGATTCCTAGCTCCGCAGAAGTGCCAAGTCCCCTTTTCACAACCTCTGGCTAGCAAGATAGGTATTTCGATATTTGTAACAAACGATTAATGTATCAGTCATTACGATTGCCCTGCTCATTGGGGGGATTACTGCAAGGGTAGGAAAGTGGCTGTTAAACACGTTAGCCTGTCTGTATAAGTGGTAACTTTAATTACAGTAGAAATAATTTGAAACTGAATATTCCAGACTATAGCTCTCAGGACTCCTGTGGCTGGCTCATTTCGAAACTTGAGATTCCAACTGCTAACATGTGACTATCAACACGGGCTGGATTTGAATTAATGGCCAAGAGGAAAAAGGCTCTGTAGCTTTATCACTTGCCCAAGTATTTCAGTCCACTGTGGTGATAGCACTTCTGAACAGCATGTTTTATTTTGCCTCATGGGATGCCCTTGTCAGAATCTTCTAATTTAAGGCCATGTTTTAAAAAATCAGCCAATCAGCTTACATCCCCAAATAAATGTGGGTGCAGTGTTGTGGGAGCAGACAGTGTCATGTAGGCATCTTACTGCTTGAATTGTAAACAAAGTAAAAATGCAATACTTTGAACCTGCAAATAAAATATGGGTACAGAATGAGATGTCTAGTTGAGAGCCCTTTAAAAATATCCTATACTATGTATATGCGCCCTGTATTTTGTTTTAACTTTCACTTTAGATTAGTGTTTGCTTTGGAAGGAGTTCGATAGGGTAGTTCCTTCCCGTTCCCACAGTGGCTTCTATTTTCTACCCTTCCATTTATGCTGTTAGTAATGTGTAGCATGAGGTTGTTATTCAAGTTGATTTTTTGTTTCTTCTTCAAATCAGATATAATTGTAAAAGAACTTTGGACTAGAAAGCCGGTAGGCCTTATTCTCGTGGTCCCTTTATATCATCCTGGCAGTTGTAGAAGTCCCTTAGAATTAATTGACATTCCACTGACAAATAAGCCATAACAAAAATTGAGAATCTTGCCCCAAACTTTTATTTTCACATCATCATTCCAAGAAATATAGGTGTTTGAGGCGCATCCTTCATTTGCAATAATGAAATTTCTCACAGTGCAGAGCAGCTGGGTTTTAATTCCCATTGTTCCAAGTTTCCATCTTCATTTGGGCGGCAGCTGGGTCTTCAGTGTTACCATTTGTGGAACTGCATCCCTCCAGGTGTCTGTCACACTCCCTGTCTGCTTGTATTCAAGGCCTTGGTGTGAGGCCTTTCAATTCATGCCTAGCATTTCCTTGACCGTTTTAACCTTCCTTCCTTATTGACCCCATGGAATTAGAGATTTGTCTTTCTCATTTTTATTTGATGCTATCATTGGCGCGGTGTTCTGGAGCTGTTTTAATTTATTTATTTCTGTTTGGGATCCCAGATGTGTTCATGATGGGTGCTTTATACAATTTTTTAATAAATCTCTTCCCAAAGCAAGGAGACATTCAAGAACAGTTCTGTTCCCTCTATAGTCCCTTCTCTTATTAGGGCAATTATCTGTGTGCCTTTTGATTTGTACAGAGGTTATTTCTTATTCTCATCTGTAGAGTGTAGTGGACAGCTCTTTATTTTATCTATGGGGCAAACCTTAGAGCCCTTTCTCAGGGAAAATTCCCACTGACGTCAATGAGGTTTTGCCTGAATAAGGACTCTAGGATTTGGCTCTTTGTTTTCAGGATGGGAATTCTCATTTTCCACTCTGAGCATTCATTTGGCCTCACAGTACCTTGGCTCACATGGTTTTCAATAAGTGTCTGGCAGCTGTACTGGCCTACCTCCAGCATCATGGGATTCATATTTATCCCTACATGGACATTTGGCGTTCCTCAAGTCATCAAAACTATTTCTAGCTTATTGTCCTACCTCTAAAAGTCTTCCCATTTTCACACAAAGAACTTGATTCTGAATCATGCTAGTTTTACAATGGTGTAACTCCGCTGACTTTAGTGCTGTTATTTCTGATTTACAGCAGTGTAAATGTCAGAATTAGACTAAAATCTCTAAATACTTAATATGCATCATTTAGTGTGAAGTACTTGTAAGTACACATGCACACACATGTGCTCATGCTTGTCTGTGTGTGCGCGCATGCGCGCGCGCGCACACACACACACACACACACATATCGGAAGTGATAAGGGACAAGGAAGCTTTGCAAGATTACTATAAAGATATATTAGATTCTAACCCAGGTATGGAAGTGTGGAATGAGATACAGAAGCACTGAAAAGTTAAACAAGAACTACCAATATTTTAATAGGGGGGAAAAAAGAACATAAAGTACAGTACCACAAACTATTGTTGGGGCTCTGGAACTCAATCTTAACTTTAGCTTTTGTTTCTGGTGCCCACCCAGATCAGTAAGGGGTTCTGTCATTGCCTTTCTTATAACCTTGGGGAGCCTTAATGTTATGCTGCTAGGGCTCAGATACTTGATATCTATAGCCTGTGCACCAGCACAAAGTCTTAACCTGGCTTCCACCAGCCTTGTTGTTCCTTGCAGAGTGATTCTAACAACCCTTCCTGTCCTGAGTCTTCCCAAATCCGAACTTCTTAAGTATCAGAAACTCAGTCTTTTCCCTTCTGGTTTATCAACCCCCTAAATATCAGTTCATTTTTGCATACACCCTTCTTGCAGTTGGCACAACAGAGATCTGCTTTGGGTAAAAGAGACAAATGGTTTATTTAATTTAAAAAAAACCTCACAGCTTGAAAGATGAAACTATAGAGAAGAGCAAAAATATACAAGTTAAACTGCAAATAAATATAAAGACATAACCTTTGCCTTTCCAGTTTTATAAAAGATAAAATCACTTTTCTAATACAAGTCATCTATTGCCTGTGTACAGTTTACCATTATACATCCATGTATACGTAAGTCTGACGGTATGGGTTTGGTGGGGGAGATCCAGTATTTCATGGACAATTTAATGCCAACAGACTTTTCCTCATTTTCTGGATGCCTTTCAATTCAAGCCCCTCCTATTTAAAAAGGGTTTGCAAGTTGTTTGCTTCATTCACTGTTGATATTCCGAGTGAAGAAATCTTGTCTCGCTGTCTTTTCATTAACTTTTCCTGGATCGTACCATGTATTCTTACCAGTTTGTGTAACCACTTGGCCCAGACAATATTTCCCACTGTCCGGGGGTGAGGTGGAACTGAAATTTTTTAACACAGTTCTCTATGTGCCCGAATACATATATTCGTCATGGCAACATATATACCTCCCTCGTAATTAAGTTAAGAAATGTTATACACTTCCATAAAAAACTTTACTCGACCTATTTTTATAGCACAGTAATGCTGTATACAATCAGTTAATACAACTGATTAAAACCTGTTATCTCTCTGGGGTGTATGATCAAGTAGATTTTGTGACCAGGCTGGTAACTTTCTATAACAATTTAACCAGGTTTACTGGCATTGCTAAGGCACTGTGCCCCCTAAAATGGGCCTCAGTGGATTGGACATACACATTTTCAGAGGATTGTGGAAAATGCACCCTGCACTTTTTAGTAGTAAGTCTTGGTATTTTTAAAGTGCTGGGCACCTTGTCTTTAGCACAGAAGAAAGCGTTTAGCCTGACATTGCCCTATGCAGGAACAATGTCTCTATCACCCATCACTCAGACCCTCCACTTTTGCAAACACTGGAATGTGTTCTGGTGGTAAAAGCCAGTCCTTAGCTCTAAAGTATATTTTAAAAGTATCTAAAGAGTCCAACCAACTCTAAGCGTTTTTGATCTGCACTCCACAAAATAGTTGAACATTTTTCCTGTGAATCAAATCCCACCCTTGCCAGCCACAAAAGATTGTGGAATTATTTAGAGGCCATTTTGTGGGTGAAGCGATAAATATGCTTGAGAGCTACTTGTTTAAATTATGCTATTTCAAATTTTTGTTTTCTTGCTGACCTACATTATAGTGTGAATTACTCAACATGTACTGAATGTTGCTTTTTTTTATAGTACCCATCTTTATGGAGAATGTTTTTAATATGTTCTTTATCCCTTTTCACTATCAAAAATCCACCCAGGAACACGTAAATGTTTGACTAACATTTCCATTTAGATAAATCTATGAGTGTTTGATCTCCATTCTTTGTGGCTGTGTACTAATCATGTTTTATGGCTGAACAATGGAGGAGGAGCTATGTCTCAATGTATTTGTGATGTTTTTATATTCTGTAAATAACAGCTTTCAAAACGTTTTACCACAGTCGTGATTTTGTTTTGACTTGTTTCAGGAGCATCCCAGACCAGAATATGAAACCAAAGTGCTACAGAAAAAACAAAAAAATGAAACTAATGAAAAGGATGACTTAGATGAGGTAGGACATATGGATTTACTTCTGTGTTTCATTTGCATTTTGTTTATATTTTATTAACATTTTTGTGTCTGTCTCAATTTTGCTCTGCTGGTCAGTTTGCAGAATAATCTCTTCTGTGCTGTTTGCCTCTTTTTCAATCTCACGTTTTTTCAGTCTCACGGGGTATTTCTGATGACTTAGTCCTGTGCATCCCTGCACCACTGCAGCATGATTTTAGGTCCCTCACTCAGCTAATGCTGCGTGAGGCATGCCACCTAAGAGTGGAGAGCGTGTAGTGCGGGGTCTACTAAGGATGGTGGTGACGGATTGTGATCAGTGATGGAATCAATGATCTGCTGTTTCCTCTTTGAAACTGCTTCAGAAAGTAAAGTTTCCTACATTTGGGCACTCCCACAGCATATGTAGGACCATACTATTTTACCCTTTCAGTATTTGTCTGCTGAGCTCATTCCTCACCATGCTTAATTTGATATTTTAACAGCGAGTGTAATAAAAGGAGGGGCAAGAGGACAATGTTTTCATTTTTTTCTTTTTGAAATTTAAAAAATCAAGACATTTCACCAGAGAATCAAAATTTTTTCCTATTTTTAAAAATTGAAATAAAAAAACACCAACCAGTTCTACGTTCTGGATAATCCCCAAATTGGATTATTGTGATGAAATCTTTTTGGATGATACTTGAATAACACCCAGAAACTTCAACTATCCTGAAAAAGGCCCACTGAATTACAGTGGCATAGGTTCAGGCATCTAGGGCAGTAATCAGAGGCTCAGCTCCTTAGCAGTCTGACTTGGAGCACAACTCAGACTGGTTCCCACTTGTTTCCAGGTACAATCCAAGATATTGCCTGTCTGCTACAAAGTCTTGGGTGTCATCGTCACTGCAACCCTTAGCTGGAGTCAGTACACTTGAGTTCCTGCACTCCAGCTAGCACACGTTAAGTGAGAACAACCGCAAAACAAGACTGAGTTACACAGGCTACGTCTAGATTGCAAGCCTCTTTCGAAAGATACTTTTGAAAAAGACTCTTTTGAAAAAGAGTGTCTAGACTACAACCAGTCTGGATGCTCTCTTTCGAAAAAGCACAGTTTGCATTACATAGCGCCTTTTTTTGAAAGAACACTTTTGAAAAAAGGCGTTCTTCCTCGTAAAATGAGGTTTTCCGTGGTCAAAAAAACTGCCGCGTTCTTTCAATTTACTTTCAAAAGAATTCAGCAGAAGTCTAGACGCAGGGGGAGTTTTTTTTGAAAAAAGGCCACTTTTTTTCGAAAAAACCCTGTAGTCTAGACACACCCACAGATTGATTTACATAGTAGCACCGAATTATTGGATTAACTGCTGCTGAGTTGGTGTAACTCCAGTTGTTTCATCACCACTGCAGCTTCAGCATCACTTGAGTTTCAGCCCAGCGCTGTGCTACCCTAGCTAGCTTGAGCTTAAAGTACCAGGTAAGCAGAGCTGAATCCCATCCACACACTAAAATGTCTAGATTAGGGGTAACACTCAAATTATAACTTGAACTAACTGGACTGTGAAAACACACCCCGTGTTATATCTACTCTGCAGTTGGGAATATTTTCCCCCAGTATAGTTAGACCTGGTCTACCATAAGGAGTCATTTTGAAATAACAAACAGAGCATTCACATTACCAAGCCCGTTATTTCAAAATAAGGGGCTGATTATTTCAATAAATAACTCCTGCTTTCCATGCGGAATAACGTTTATTTTGAAATAGTTATTTTGAAATAGCGGTAGTGTGGATGCTCCACTTTTGCTAATTCGAAATAACCGCTCCCCAGAGTCATTCAAAATAATTACTTCCCAGTGCTTCCTAGGACTCTAAGTCTAGGTAGCACAGACACATTAAGGGAGTCTGTCTCGGACTAATTTTGAGACTTCCCTGGAGTGTGGGCATGCTACTTTGAAATAGTTATTTTTTGAGTTATTTCAAAATAATTTCCTAGTGTAGACATGCCCCTAGATAGACACACAAGATTAGCTCTGCTCACCTTAGCATGCTAAAAGTAGCAGTCTAGCTGGAATAGAATGGGTAGAGGCTCAAGCTAGCCACCTGAGTACAAACTCTCCCAGACCTCCTGGGTATATAATCGGGTAATCAGCCTGAGCCATCACCCCCAGCTATTCTGCTACTTTCAATGTGCTTGCTGAAGCAGAGTGAGCACCTGTCTGCCTAGCGATGCTGGGAAGTGTGCTCCCAACAGCAGCTACCGTTAGACTGCCTCCTTTTCCATATGTTACCCAGTTGGTTGAGATCAATTTGGACACTCAGACCATTAGGTATCATTTGTGTGCCTAGGGCTGGAAATAAGGAATTCTCGGTGGGTGGCTTTGAGTGCGGAAATGCTCAGATAATCAGCTGGGTACCCAGGTAGTTTGTATATCTTTGATTGTTTTTGTGTTTATGAGGGGATGGTTTGGGAGATTTTGGTCTGGCTGGGTACCTATTTCATTTGTGTTGGGTAATATTGGTTGGTTGACAGTCTGAGTCACTGGTCTTACTGTAAATGCATCAAAATGTCTGCTTCAGAACTGAAAGCAAGTACACATTCCCATTCCCCTCTTGTAAAAAGTCTGAGGTCTATTTCCCAGGCATTCAGAAATCCCTGAAGACTCCCTGAATTAGTCTCGGCTAAATGTAGTTTATTCTGTGTGTGATACATGTGACAACTAAATCAAGGTATTTGGAAATGTGTCCAATCTTGAGATTGAAGGAGCCTATTACCCTATTTATATGCTGAAAAGAAACAGTGCCTGAACTGGAGATTACTCCAGAACTCAGGCTTGGCCAAAACAGTTAGATGTTGCAGCATATAAAGGAAGTTAACTACTTCCTTTCTCCTGCAGATCATAACTGAGTTCTTTTAGTGTAGCCAACGAGTCAGCCAGCCAGAGAAAATTAACTGCCATCTCATGGGCCTTATCCAACAACAACTGAAGTCAGTGGAATGATTCCTAATGACTTTAATGGGTGTTGGATCTGGCCCAATGTGACCAGGGAGTTTTGCCAGACAGGAGCTCAGACACAGAGGATGGGGAGCTTTTCCATTAGACACTGAGCAGTTTTCTAGGCATCCCTAGTGAGGGATTAAATCCTATAATAGGTGAATAAAGGAACTGGTGTGCATCTCTTGTTTAAGTAAAAATCAGGAATAAGTGAGTGATAATGCACAAATTACATTTTTGTTGTGGCTAGGATGAGCAAAGTAGTTAGCCGATTGAAATGGGAAAAGGATCGTCCCCAGTATTAAAGGTTAGAAATAAAACCATCATAAAAGAAAATAAAATTGAATCACATAATAGATGGGAGTATGAGAAGCTACTTAAAGAGCCAGCAGCACACAATTCATTGGCATTCATTGCCAGGTCAATTTGTATCTTAGGTCTCCCACCAAAGACAATGCTAGTAGCCAATCCTGTAATAAATTAGCTAAAGGTTTATTCAGTCAGAAAAGGAAATGAGAGTTTCTTTACAGGTTAAAATGAACAGGCATGAATACAGAAATGAGTTTCGGTCTGATTCAAAACCTGAACAGAGCTGTAGTAATTGATCAGGTCAAAGTGTCTTTCGGGGCTCACGCCTGCCAAGTAGCATGGGCACTTTTTACTTACGCGTAGGAATCTTTGCCCCTCAGAGTCAAGCTATCAAGAACAAGATTCAGTTTCTCTTTGTCAGGGATTTTAATCCCTGTCATTTCAGATACCAGCATTGATGAATTCATCCATAGATCTCCCTTCCCTAATAGGAGTTAGGAATGCAGTCAACAGGGCCTCTCTCCTTTCATGCTGCACAATATTTTATTTGCCTTCATTGGGTCATATTGACCTTGATGCTTCTTCTCCCATTAGGTGAGTTACACAATTTCAGAGGTTTGCAATGCAAACATTCACTATAACTGCATACCATGAGCTATAGCGTTTATAAGCAAGATCAATACAGGCAGCATCCTACTAGCATTTTATAAAGTCTAAACACATTCTTATTCACTTCACAGCTAATATTTACAGTAAAACTCCAATTGTCCAACATCCAGTGGTCCAGCACTACCTATAGTCTGGCACCAAGAACCCGTATACAAATCTGATTCCCTTCCACATAACTGTGACAGTTGTAAGTTATATAATTTATTTGTATTAACCTAAGAGATCATAGAGGTACAAGTGCAAAGAGCTGGTTATAGATAACTAATGTCCACATCAGGCAATTTCCTGAGGTCCCGCAGCACCGCCCCTCACCCCCATGCTTTTCACCCCATGCTGCGCCGTTCCCAGCTCGACTCCTCCCCCCAGACCCGTCACAGCCCCCCTGCTGGAGTACCTCCTGATACTCCGGCATATCCGATAATCTGGCACTCCCTGGGTCCCAAAGGTTCCGGATTATCGGAAGTCAGCTGTAGTAACATTTTTTTAGGTTTTTTTTTTCAATTTTCCCCTAAGAAAACTAGTAGCTTCCATTGAAGTGATTTACATTTTCTGCTAAGGGTTAGGAGTCGTCAGATGAAATTCTGCACTATGTGATTGTGACAGTGTGCTAAGCCGTAATAATGTAGAATTGCAGGTTCCCCCTGCCACTTGCAGCCCCAGCTGGCCTGTCTCCAGCGGCTGCGCAGGGCTTCCCCCACCTCCCTGCAAAGCGGCGGAGGGTTTGCCCCACGCGGTGCTGTTACCCGCCGACCTCCTCCCCCCGACCTGTCACAGCCCCCCTGCTGGAGTACCTCCTGATACTCTGGCATATCCGATAATCTTGTACCCCCTGGGTCCCAAAGGTGCCGGATTATCGGAAGTCTACTGTACTTTGGTAATGCTAGCACGCAGGTAAGAATTTGTAAAAATATTCAGTGAGGTTGTGGCCTTGGCATGAACTGACACATGGTTTGCCAGCGTTACAGCCACCTTGAGTGATCAGCCCCTAAATGTGTAAACATCCACACATGCATACATAGATAAATGTCCTGTCACCCCTCCTGTCATTATATGACA